TGTTTTATGAAATTTAAATAATTGCCATTATTGAATGCCTTTGACATGTATCAGACGTGTTTTTTTATTCTTCATGTAGAATGTGTAAGTTAATCCTTCCAACCTTTCGGAGGTTGTTACCATTTTGTAGATGACATGGAGGCTTGGAGGTTGAGGTCATAACTAGTAAGAGATTTAGGTTATCTCTGTAGTTTGTTGACCAAATTTGTGCTCTGATCTACCATATTGTTCAATTTAACAATTGTAGGATGGAGAGAGAAACATTGGTAATTTCTACTTTATCACTATGGTATTTTATCTAAGAGCTTGGGGATCAATGTGTTTGCATAGTGATAAATATTAGAAATTAAAAAAAAATTGCTCCCGGTAATTGAATCTTCTTTTAATGTTTTTGTGTCTTTTTCCTTATGAAACGTTATACTAAACTATTTGAGTTGTATTTCAAGACAGGAAGACCCTGTAATTGTTTATTAGGAATCCATCTGTTTTAACTGACTCAAATATCAGACCTTGGACATGGTGTTATTTTGATGACAGGTGTCCTTTGGGAGAATCTCTGCTTACATTGTCAGTGAGGAGTCTGTGGTGTTTCTCTCCATCTCTGTTTTATGTATTTTGTTTCAGAATATCTGAAATGGAATTCTATCAGTATTGGGCAAGATTACATTTTAAGTGTTTGTTAGTCACCGAAACATGTTAAATCTAACAACACTTTATTCATACTGTATTTATGCTTGCCAAATATTTTTTCTGTGCACACTATTTTAAGTTTGATCTTTTTAATAACTGTATGTGGTGGGCCATTTTGTCTGCCTCCTTGAACAAAAAAGAAATAAGAGGCTCAAGAGAAGCTTGCAAATGTTGACAGTCTGTGTAGTGGAGTCAGATTTCGAGTATATGTCTGTCAGACTCTGGGATCTTGAGTGCTTAACTATGGCATTAAGTCATGTCTCCTGGGTTTTGAGGTTTGTGAGTTTAAAAATAAAAGGAGTAACATGGTTTGTGTTGGTGAAAACAGTGATAAAAGCTGTGCTGCTCAGGCTTTCTGAGAAGCTGAAACTAAGTAATTAAGCACCGGGGCAAATTACTAATGCTACCCGCTTCTGTCTGCCTGGTTGCCTCTGTTTCTTTCATTATTTTTTTCTGTGCATATTTATTGGTGTTATCGGTTTCTCTTACTACCTGGCCAATCTGTATTGCCCATAAAATGGTACTTTGAACACCATTGCATTTATCCCACTTTAAGAAATCTACATGAGTATGAAGTGCAACTCTTTATGATATTAATTGCAGGGTTTTTTTTTTTTCTTGGTTAGAACTTTTAGAAAGAAATTTGTTTCTCTGGTATAGGCTTGGACTTGTTCTCTAGCGAGGTATCTTTGGGTTAAATAGCTGTGGAATTGGGTGACAGGTTGACAGAGAGGTAACTGGACATACGCAGGCATCTGTATTGATGGTGGTGGATAGTTCCTGGAGAAAGCAATTGGACTAAAGTCTTTAAATAGTAAATTCAGTAACGCATCAGATTTTGTTAATGTGGTAGGTAAAATAACCTAGCACAAATACATGTCCTATTAGTACAAGAAACAAGTCAGTTTATTATGCTAAAAGTAAATTCCTAAGTTTAGTATAAAGTAAATTCTTTTGATGGTACTAGAATAGTTGATTTAAAAGAATTATCTAGCCTGGTGGTGGCGCATGCCTGTAATCCTAACTATTCAGGAGGCTGACATCTAAGGATCACGGTTGAAAGCCAGCCTGGGAAGGAAAGTCCCTGAACTTCTTATCTCCAAAAAACCCGCTCACAAAACCAGAAGTGGAGCTTTGGCTCAAGTGGCGGAGCACTAGTCTTGAGCTGAAGAGCTAAGGGACAGCGCCCAGGCCCAGAGTTCAAGCCCCATGGCCGACCAAAAAAAAGTTAGCTAGATGAATATTTTTGAGAAGAATATTCAATAGACATTTCTTGTTCATTTCTCTATTTGTATTGTTACCAGAGAATTTCCTGTGGTAGGTTTGCATATAACTGGATTATGTTTACCAGTGAAGTGTACATTATTTGCTGTACTATCATTTAAAGATTTTCTTAATAAAATTCCAGATTCTGTTTTTAGATTTCAATAAATAAAAATAATTTGTCTTTTATTTGCCTTTTTGATTATTCTTGACTGATTTTTAAATGTATATTGTTATCTTGCCTCTTTTATAAAATTAGCAGTCTTCTTTTATTTATTTGTTTATTTAAAGTTTTTTTTTATTGTGAAAATACTGTACAGAGGGGTTACAATTACATGAGCAAGGTAATGAGTACATTTCTTACCGAACATTGTTGCCTCCTCCTTTGTTTCCCCTTACCATCCAGCGGTTTTCTATAAAGCTTTTTTTGTAGGACATTGAGAACAGAGTTTGGTGGAAACTGATAGCTTATAGTGTTTAGTTTGCTCAAACATTTTCCAGCTTAGTTTCAACAAAAAGTAATTGTGATTATAGTGTTTTCCTGTTTCATTATTGGGCCAGAATAATAAAGAGCTGTTAGATATAGGGATTTCTTTTGTTTTTTGTGGTTGATTTATGTTAAACTGGGGTCGTTTTAAATCTGAAGCATTTCTAGACAATAAGTCCAGGGAAAGTATAATTTAGTATATTCACTTTTTACTCAGTTTTCTTAGTACTAGCTAGTTCTAAATGAAATATTGTAAGCTTTTATTGTTTTAAATTGCCTTTCTTAGATATTTTTATTTTGTTAATTACATTTTTAGTAAACATCCACAAATTCATCCCGATCTTGGTAGCTAGAATACTACATTTTGTCTTGAGGAAATTACCTTCTTTCAGAACTGTGGTTCTGAAACCACAGGATTGAACTTTTCCTGTTCTTGGTGTTCATATGGTGAAGAATTTCCTAGGACATTGTTTTAAATATGTATCACATAAATGCAACAGTTGCCATTTGTTCCAGTTGGACTGGACAATTTCCAAGACAGACTTCCTGCCAGCTCTGTCAGTCATCATGGTTTTCAGTCTAGATTTTCTCTGCAGCTCTTGGACCTCTTCCAACATTGAGACAGTTTCTAAGCATCAGTAGCAATGATCTTTCCAGGTATCTCTACTGGATTCTAAAGGTGTCAGTCAGGAAGAGCAGGAGGGATTGGGAGCATTCAGGCGGGCCTCCTTCAGTATACCTTCAGAAAGAAGTTAGAGTAAAAGAAGGCATTATTTAGAGCAACAAAATACATAAATGTGGAAGTAAATCATTTACATTAGAGCTTTTCAAACACATTGATAACGCAGAACCAGATTTTTAGTTTCCCATCCATTAGAGAAAGAGGCCATAAAACCAGTACCTTGATCACATTGCTGGCACAAATGCTCTGAAAGCATTTTCTAATTCCTTTAAAAGGTCCTTAGTGGCTATTCACAATCTTTACACACATTGTGGAACAGTATCTGGGCTGACTGACACTGCTTTATGGACTGCAAGTTGAATAGTTTGGTTGATCCTACATACTTGTTATCTTCATTTTGTACCTAATGCCATTAAAGCTCAAAAGAGAAATTACTTTTTATTACTATATAGCTGTTGAGTAGTTTAGTATAGAATAGTTCAAAAGCAAAAAAAAAATACATTCTATATTCTGATTTATGAAATAATCTTTTATATGAGTTTTTTTGTTTGTTTTGTTTTGTGCCATTTTGGGGGCTTGAACTCAGGCTATGTCCCTGAACTTTTTGCTCAAGGTTAGTGCCACTGGAGCTATAGCTTCACTTCTAGCTACTCCCTCTCCCCTCCTCATCCCTCCTTCCTTCCCTTCCCTTTCCTCCCTCAGTCCCTCCCTTCCTCTCCTTCCTTCCTTCCTCTCCTTCCTTCCTCCCTCTCCTCTCCCTCTCCCTCTCCCTCCCCCTTCCCCTCCTCCTCCCCTTCTCCTTCTCCCTCTTCCTCTCCCTCTCCTTCTCTCTTTCCCTCTCCTTTCTTTTCTTTCCAAATTTAGTAGAGATAGAGTTTCACAGACTTTCCTGCTCTGGCTGGCTTTGAACTATAATCCTCATATCTCAGGCCCTTGAGTAGCTAGGATTACAGACATGAGCCACCAGTGCCCTGTGAGTTTATTGTTGTGAAAAATCAATACAGATACTGAGCAAAACAAGAAAAAAAGAGAAATATTGGCACAGGAAGCATAAGAATAAAAATCCTACTTGTTTGTTTAATTGGAATAATGAGTTTATTTTAATGACCTATCAGGAGGTAAAGTCTAAAAGATTAACAAATGGTATGTAAGCCATAAAAAGGTTGCTTTTATTTGTTAGTGGGACACAAAGAAGTGATACAGAGCTGGTTAGATTTTAACTAAAATTAGTTTAGTGCTTTTTCTGCATATTGAAAATAAAATTAATATATTTTGTACTTCAGGTTTATAAAATATTCTGTTTCTGAATATAGTAATAAATACTCTTCTGTTGTCAGAGCTTTAAAAGTAAGATGATGTGAGCGAGGAAATTAGGGTTAGTTATGTTTTGAAACACCCTGCCACCAAGTACTTAGCAAAAATGTATAATATTTAGACAGTATGTTAAGTTTTTCTCTATAAGCATTGCCTGAATTGGAATTTTACCTCAGACATATTAAGCTGTTTAGGTCTTAGTTTGTTATTCATAAAATAGATAGAAATAGTACTTTATAGGATTTACATAAACTTAAATGAAATGCATCCGTGTTTCTGTGTGTGTATATATACTGCTGTTGGCGTATTTATTGTGTGACCTAGACTAGTGCCCATTAAACAATGAACATTTGATAAGTATTTTACTATTGCTATGATGACTAGTATAAGACATCTACTTCATAAAATATAGTTAATGAACATAGGTGTATAATACAACTGAAAATACCAGCAACCTACTGGTTATCGTATGAAAATAGTCACCTACCTCATGTCAGACGTTAATTTTCAGTTTATTAAGACAAAATTAAGGCATGTTTAACTTAGTGTTTTTTTCTTCTGTAGTTTATTAGAGAAGACATGAAGTATAAAGATGCTACCAATAAGCACAGCCATCTGCACAGAGAAGATAAGCATATAACTGTAGAGGATTTGTGGAAGCGATGGAAAACATCAGAAGGTAAGACTCATGTAGTAATCTACATCCCTCATCTTTGGGATCTACATCCCTCATTTGTGCTTCTGCCCACTTAGCTATTGGCAGCCCGCTCAATGTGAATGGTTTTTGCCAAAAATATATGAGGTTATATTTTTGTATGAATATTTCTATTTTACCATTTTTTTCCTGTTTTTATTTTTTGTTTGATTTGGCAGTATTGGGGTTTGAAGTCAGGAACTTGGATTTGCTAGGCACTCTACTTCTGAGCTGCATGTTTAGTCCCCATTTAAAATTTTGAGTGGTAATTTTTATCTTCTTTATATTCATAAAGTATGCTGTTTTCAGATAGTTTGGTACTTTATCCTAGAACAAATAGTTCATATCTGAGAGTTTAAAGTTCTGAAGCACTGTCTCAATTATTAAATTGAGTTTTTTAAATAAGTTTTTTATTGTGAAAATACTGTGAAGAGGGGTTACAGTTACATGAGCAAGGTAATGAGTACATTTCTTATCAAGCATTGTTGCCTCCTCCTTTGCTTTTCCCCTGCCATCCCTTCCCTCCCACTTCTTCAACTACACTCTAAATTGAGGTTTTTCAAGTAAACATTGGGAACCAAAAGTGTTTTCTTTTTTTTATTTGTGGTGAACAGTTTTCTAAAGTCTTTAGGAAACAAGAACTTGGAGGCTTTTTCTTTAAAAAGTTGTTCATGAAATCTTCTAATATAGTAGTTACCCCTTAGCTACTTGGGCTATGTTCTAAGACCCCTCAGTAGGTACCTAAAACTACAGATAATCCTGAACTTTGTATTTTTAAAATCTTTTTTTATATGTGGTATTTACCTACAATGATGCTTACTTTGTAAATCAGTCCCAGTAAGAGAGTACAACAATAATTAGTAAGGAAATGGAACATTCACAGCAGTACATTGTAATAAAAGTTATGTAAATGTAGTTTCTTCAACTGTCAAAGAGTAAGTACTATGTACATTGTAAAAATACTGGGCAAAAAGTTAATGTATGTTTTCTGCAGGACAATGTAAGATTTTGTCACACTACTTGTAATAAGTTGATTATTTGTGGAAATTTCCATTAATATTCTCTCATCGTAGCTGAACCTTTGGTAACAAAAACCACAAAAAGTTAAGCTGTAGATGTGGGTGGAAGGGGGCACAGAAGTTTCATGATAAAATTGAGTAATTTGTGTTTCATTCCTTTTCTTTTTCTAAGTTCTCAAGCTGTTTTATGGATGAGAATTCTTCAGGGCAGGAAAAGCTTCTGACCTGAAACCTCAAAACAGCCTCTTATGCTAAGAAGCTACTAAAATTGAAAAATAAAGCAAAAATGTTCATTAAGCTTGTTTTTTATTTTATAATTTTGAATATCAGTGAACTAGAATATTGTTTTTCTAGTGTTTCTAATTTCTTATGAAAGTTAAGCAATTATGCTACATAGTTCTCTTAATTTTTTTTGATAAAATTAGGGGAGCCAGGGCAGATACCATGAGTGTAAATAAATAACAAGTTTGCTCTCAATGGTAATGTTTTAGACATGGAAAACTACAGAAAACTATCCTATTCTTATTTTTCTTACTGTAGAAGTTTGTAATTTGCTTACATGTTTGTGTTTGCTTTTTCTAAAAAAGGAATCTATTGAAATACACAAGAGAAAAGGAAAAATAAGACAAGAAAGATCACTGACCTAACATTAAAAACAAAAATCTAACATTAAAAAAAGTTCCTTTATTTCCCCTTCCCATGTCATTTAAAAATAATGGAAACTTGGAAATGAATAGGAATAGAAATAAATTGGTATAAGTCCCATGGGGGAAACATGATAGGGTAGTGGCAAACTCAGTGATAGATTTTTGTTCTGTGAAATACCTCAGCAACTCATAGGCATTATTAAAAGAATTAAACATTTACTGTAGAGTCTATTACTGCTACTACTTTTGATTTGAGTATGTTTATAGTGAATGGAATCCACTTAATTATGTTTTAATGAGGGAATAAGAATTTGGCAGCTTAACTCCCATGCTATTGTCTGGTTCAGTCAGCATCATCTCTGGGTTGGATAGTTAGACTATCTGCTTTATTGGTTTTTCCTATATATGGCAGGGAATTTTTTTTTTGGTTCCGGTCGTGGGGCCTGAACTCTGGGCCTGGGTGCAGTCCCTCAGTTCTTCAGCTCAAGGCTAGCGCTTTACCACTTGAGCCACAGCGCCACTTCTGGCTTTTTTTCTTTTTGTTTATGTGGTGCTGAGGAATCGAACCCAGGGCCTCATGCATGCAAGGCAAGTGCTCTACCACTGAGCCACCTTCCCAGCCCCATGGCAGGGAAAATTTAAGTGTATTCTTTTCCCTCTGAAGTTTCAGTCATTTTATTCTATTAAAGGAGCTGATAATATCGTATACAGAGTAAGAGGGGGAAAACAATGATTTATTCATATTTGTAAGCAAAAATGTCACAAAAATATGAGACTTACAGAATGCGGTAAGAAGTTTGAATTTTGTTGTAAAGAGCTAAACAAATTGATTCTCAGATCTTTGGCTTCTAGGGAAAAGAAAGGTGGCCCTAGATATGGCAAGTCCAGTAGAGGAAGTAGTCAGAGCTAGGGTTATCTTGTTAGGCAAATGGAGTCTCTCAGGTACTAATCCTCTGTCCAGACTAGGGTCAGATCCTTAATCCCCTCTTTCCTAAGAAAAAATCCTTTCATTTAGAAAAATCCTAAAGCAGGAAGGAGATTGTCATGTAGAAATGGCTCTGTCTGTACCGGCTATTTACTAGTCTAGATGGATTTAGACTTATTTTCATAAAAGGACAATCTTCCACATCCATTGCTGTGTCTGCAGAAATCTGTAGTTTCTTGAAATATGCTGAAGAAATATAATTGAGCCCAGACTATTTCACTTTTCCACATTACACTTCTGTTTCAGTCCATTCTTCACCCAGAAAAGCAATCTGTTTAAAGTATAAATCCATCCTGCTAAATAACTGACATGGCTCAGAGAAAAACCTAAGGTCTTTACAAAGGCCTTTAAGTCTCTGCATGTCTGTCCCTCTTCTCTCATCTATATCATTTTCTCTCATCTCCTGAATTGTCATCTCCCTCCCTCACTGCTCCATTTAAGCTAGGTCCCTTGCTGTTCCACAAATGTAGCAAGGCAACTGTCCCTTCGGCTAGCTCTCTCCTCTCCTTTATAAAGTCTTTATGAAGGGCTGCTTTTTTCCTTTTTGATATATTTTTTATTGTAAAGATACTGTACAGAGGGGTTACAGTTACATGAATAAGGTAATGGGTACATTTCCTATCGAACATTATTACCCCGTTTGTTTTTCCCATACCATTCCTTCCCTCTCCACCTCCGCAACCACAAGTTGTAAAGTTCATTTTCAACATAGTGTCTTGTACATCTCATTGTTACAGTGGGTCAGCCTGTATCTTTATTTCAGCGTTTTGTTATTTCGCTTCCCGTCCCCAAATTAGAAAAAATGTACATGTAAGATGCAGGACACGGAATCAAATACAGTAAAAACAGGGTCATACCATGGGGGAAGAACATACAAAAGAAACAAAAGAATCACATAGTACATTAAAATTAACAAGGGCTGCTTTTTCTGTGCGGCCTGCTTTAGACCAAACCCTGTTTTACACTTGGAGTGGCCACTCTCATTGGTTTTTTCCCATATCATTTTTCACCCTGTGAATATTTCGAATTGACTTCTTCAACATTTTTGTGTCTGTTCTCTTCTCAGAGAGCAGAAGCTCATTGTCCCCAAATGAGGGGACTCCTTCCTAAGATCTTTAGTGATCTATATGAATATTTTTTGTTGGTGTTTTTAATCACTTAGGGCTTTTCCAAGACCAATGGCTTCTTAAAAATCTTTTCCCTTAAACTTTCACTTTAATCTTTACCTGCTAAGATCTTATACCATCATGGTAGTGAGTCTTCCTTTTAAGTCCACACTGTAGACTCATGCTGTCTACTGCGGGCTTCTCTTTCTACAAGCTCCAGTCTCCCACAGAACTGACTCAAGGGTCAAGGCTAGCACAGCTGCACCAAAGGAAAGGGAAATGCACGAAGGTTCAAACAATATAAGCCTCCCTCAGAAACTTTGTAAGGACTACTTATTTTCTCAAACCATGATAAAAGTCCCTGGGGCAGGGTTTGTTGCTGGAGCAGTGGGAAGACAGGGCATGCTACTATCTTTTTTGTTCTATTTTCTGTTTATGGCTTCTCTTGGAAAACAAGTGAGTCTTCTGAAAAACTTTGAAAACTGCAAAAGAAGGGATTAGAATGAACCTCAAACAATAATATAATAGATATTGTTCAGTTATGTAGACCTAAAAGTGTCTGTGTGTATACCACATACATGCATGCATGCACACATGCGCATGTACACACACATACACATAGATACATACTCATTCTTTGCTCATTGCTATATCTCTTATGGCTAGAGCAGTGCTTTATTCATCTTGATATTGGTAAATATTTGTTGAATGAATAGAAGTTTTGAACATTGACTGGTCCATAATTTGGTTCACAGATAGTTTTAGTGTATTAGTTTTAGTGTAATACATGTTTTTCTGAAAAGAAAATATGGACTTATAGGGAAAATGTCAGTGAAACAGACGACACAAAATCTATAGTGCTTTGTAAACAGAGTGCTAACAGTATTAATAAAATAGTAGTACAAGTAAAATTCTTTTAATCAATAAATACTATAGTTGATAGACAAATTTAATTGGAAATAGTAGTTTTTACATTAGAAGTAGTAAGTAAAGATGACTTAATGGAAATGGAAAAGTTACTATATTAAGTAGGGTTGAAGGGGCTGAAAACTGAAGGAAGTGCATAAAGATGAGGACTGGTCAATAAGTAATTCCAAACAGGAGGGTGTGACCAAATTGAGCTAAAAGGAAGAATGTATTGATTGTTAGAGTATATTTCACATCTTTTTGCTGTTGATTGGAGATAGCAATAATAACATGTTTGGAAAAGTTGCATTTGAAATAATGT